ACACACACACACACACACACACACACACACACACACACCTAAAAGTCCTGGTAGGGTTTGGGACAGCACACAGGATGTCAGCATTAAAATTTCTATGGAAAGCAGATGTGCCGTGCTGCTATGTGAGATAAATAAGGGCTCTAGGTCTCCATGGTCAAGGTGGCAGCCACATGTGCCTGAGGAGCCCTGAAATGTGCCCAGCCCTGAAATGTGCTGTGAGTGTAAAATGCTCGCCCAATTTAAAAAACTCGCAGTTTTTTCCCTCACCGTGGGAGAAAACAATGTAATATGAAAAATTAATCATCTTTTGACTGATTACATATTGAATGATATTGGCTATATTGGGGTCAAAGAAGATACTTAATTTCACCTACTTTTTTGTGATACCGGGGCACTCTATCACTGAGTTGTACTCCCAGCCCTCTTTTTTTTTTATTTTGAGACAGAGTCTCACTAAATTGCCCAGGTGAGACTCGTATGTGTGACCCTCCTGCCTCAGCCTCTCTTGGTACTGGGATTACAAGTATTGTTGCTTTTTTGCAATGTGGCTAGTAGAAAATTTTGAAAAGCCCAGATGGCTCACCTATGTGACTTAATTCCATTTCCACTGGATAGTGGCCCTCCGAGGAAGATAGAGAGATGTGGCCACGAGTGAGTTTGCTCCCAACTTCTTTTCCAACAGACTTTGCTTTTCAGGGCTTTTGTATTCTGAGTTGCAGGTGACATTTCCCAATCAATCATGGAGAATCTGGGACCAGAAGGACAAGGTGAGTTTCTCTCCCCACTGGGCAGCTGGCGGGCTCCATGTCCAGGACTGGTTCTGGCTATGACCACCCCCAAGCCTTCTGTCCCCTGCAGCCACCTTGCCCAGAGCTCTCTGCCCAGGCCAGGCAGGCTACTGGTGAGCCCTGCCAGGCCCGCAGGAAAGGGGATGGGCAGAGGGCAGGTCGAGGCACCTGGCAGAGAGCTCCCAGTGCTACAGGATGTGATCAGTGTAACCGGAAAGTCAGTCATGGCCAGGCTAGGGCTGGCACTCTCTCTCCTACTGCTGTCCTCGCTGTCGCTGCAGGCCTCCTCACTGTCACAGCTGGACGACACAGAGGGCAAGGCCACCCTCGCAGGCCTGATCCTGTCTGCACTGGAGAGAGCTACCACATTCCTGGAAGAGCGGCTGCCTGAAATCAACCTGGATGGGGTGGTGGGGTTTCAGGTGCTGGAAGGTGAGTTTGCCTGTGGCCCGGCTGGCCACTGGGGAAACCAGTTCTTGGCCATGGCCCCGGCCCCACTCTGACCCCTGGGACCTGACAATCTCCTGGCATCAGAACAGGCTGCTTTGGCTCTGAGGAAAGGGAGGAGGGGGCTGCATTTCCTGATGTGTAGGGCTTAGCCAGCTGTTATCAAAGGTTTTAGAAGTAGGAAGGATTTAAAGGCAACATGAGAAAAGATTTGAAAATTATATTCTTAGAAGGAAGTGATCCACTTGACAGTGGCCATCTGACACGCCATGACCGAGGAGCAGAGGGAGCCCTTTCAGCGGGTATTTATGGGAAGGCTGCTCCTCCTGCGTAAGTGTAGCTGGGAACAATACCGAAACCCTGAGTTCCTACCTGGTTTCCTCCACAGCCAGCCCAAGGCACTCGAAGGTCCTGAGAACAGGGCTCAGAGTTTGTTTAGCCTTGACAGATGGAAGGTCCTTAAAGAGTGGGCTGGAGACAGGCCAAGGCAGACTGGAGACATGCACACGTGTTCAAGGAGCCATTTCCTGCAGGCCATACTCACCAAAGTGACAGAGACCTCATATTTTTTTTGAGGTACTGGGGGTTAAAACCAGGGACTTTACACTAAACTACATCCCAGCCCTTTTTATTTTTTATTTTGAGACAAGTTCTCTCTAAATTACTAAATTGCTCAGATTGGGCTCAAACTTGTGATCCTCCCAACTCAGCCACCAAACGTGCTGGAATTACAGATATGCATCACCACGCCCTGCTCAGAGACCCTTTCTTGGTGTCAGCCCGGGCTTGGTCAGTGGGTATCTCTGTCTATCTCCTTGCAGCCACACAGCCACCCCATGTCCTCTCCACATCTCTGCTCTTCCAGGTAACATCCTGGAGAGCACCAGGATCCTGCCCCACCCTCCTGCTCTGCTCTAGGCCAGGACTAGGGGGAGGCCAGGGGCATACCAGGGTCCCCTTCACTTAACCCATTCCCATCTCAAGCCCCTCTAGAAATGACTGACAGTCACAATCCCCAGAGCCAGCTTCCCAACTAGGAACAGCAGACACCGAGTCACAGGCCCACAATACTTTCAGGGATTCATACAAACGCTGTAGGTGGTAGATGAGTGGGCACCCACTTCCAGAGCAGAGGATTCCTCCAGCTGCCTCCAGCAGCGTTGAAGCTCTCCCTCATCCTCCCCATGGACGGCAGACCCCAAGTCTCTGCAGTTAATACTAAAGGCCACGTCTTATCAAGGGCTTGCTTTGTGCAGTGGGTAATGCTAACTCTTCACACATCAGCTCTTTTAGTCCTTACAAAGTCAGACCAGAGAAATATTGACTCACTGTCCTCCTTTTACAAAAAAAGGTGGAAATGGAGAAAAACTAGATGACTTCCTCTGGTCTCCCAACCAAAAAGTATCAGAGCCAGGACTTGATCCCCGGCCCACCTGCAGATATTAAGCTCTTACCTCCACCTTCTACCACCCTGACCCCCACCCTGACCAGGCCACAAAGGCCTGGTTTCCAGCCAGCTCAGGGAATCCTCACGGGCCTTGTGCAGGGAAGGCAGAGGAGCTCTTGGCCAGACAGCTAGTGATCGATGATCTCTGCTCCCCAGTGCAGCTCCGAGGTGCACAGGAGGTGTGGGCGTTGGACCCGCTGCTGCAACCACTGAGTCTGCGTACTGGGCAACTGGCTGACAAGCTGGCCCCTCTCCTCCACAGATCCATCACCTACCTGAATCTCAGTGATCCTGATTACCTAAGAGGTAACCATGGGGCAGGGGCATTGCTTCGGGGATGTCACTGAAGACCCTGGCACAGGCTCCTCTTAGAGTGAGGCAGAATGGGGTGGTCCACACCTGTCTCCTGCCAGCCCAGCAAGTTACCCCCTGGAATGCTGGTCATCCCTGACTCCAATCACAATGACCTGTCCCACCCACACGGAGGGACAAACAGGATGTCTCCCACCACCCACTGCTAGGGGACCTCCTTCCTGGACCATAGGGGCAGATCTGGTCTGACCCTTCCTGAGGATGGCATATCTAAAAGGCAGGTCACCTCCTTGCACAGCAAACCTTAGTATCATGCCAGCATCTGTCCTGTGCCTTCTAATGCAGAGCATCTGTCTCCTCACCAGCTCGAGGGACCCTACAGAAGCTCCTATTCTACGATCCTGGCCTGAATTGGTATACACAGAACAGCAGCACCTCACAAGGCTCCAGTCCTGTCTCTGGGGTTCACAACAGACATGGGGGGGTCATGAGCTACTGCACACCTCATTCTCAGACTGAAGCCCCACCTCTGTGGCCCACCCTGTCCTTTCTCCTTCTCTGCAGCAGAGGTCCCCACCCTCACCTGACCTTTATACACACCCAGAAGTGAGGACTGTCCCCATCCTACAGACAAGAGAATGGGACTGGTAGAGTAAGAAACCCCTTGCCAGGCATATATACTGGGAGCACTGCGCTGTAAAACAAGACCCAGTGGGTCTTTGGTCCCTTTCATGGGTCTCAAACTTCTGTGGGATGCAGCAGATATAGTCACAGCCTGTCCTAACACTGTCCCTAACTGGCTAGGGAAAAACTCTTCTGGTTTTTTGTTTGGTTTTTGTTTTTGAAGAAATGGAGTTTCTGGAGTGTTTCAGTCCCCACCACCACCAGCCAAGAAGCTGGGCTGGGAGCTGGGCAGGGCAGCCATGGTGGGGTGAGCTCAGTTCCTTGGCTGAGCTTAGGGGACTTTCCCTGCCCCAGCTCACCACAGCTCCAGGTCATTTTTCGAACTTCCCCACACCACCTGCTTTTCCCCTCTTCCAGAGTTCCAGCCAAGCCTGCAGCCCGGGTTTTGGAAGCTGCCCCACACCTGGACCCACACCAACACCTCCCTAGTCTATCCCTGGCCTGAGCTCCAGGACTCTTTCTCAGAGGACAGCAGCGATGCGTGCCTGGTACTGCTGTTGGGAACAGGGTAAGCCCCAATTTCCTGGTTTACTGGAACCCCAGATTGTTTTCTCCTGCCCTGCTTGACCTCCAAGCCCTCAGGGCCACCTCCAGGCGTCTGTACAGAAGCAGACACAACTTCCAGGAAGGTGCCTGGCCTTCCTCTCCCACCCCATTCTAGTCCTGTCTGAACTCCCCAGCTCAAGCTGCCTCAGCTTCCCCTGGCTCCAGGACAAAGCCCCAGTCCTGCAGCCTTCCGAGGCCCTGGCCACCCTGATCCCATCCCTGGGGCCTCTGTCCCCACTATCCTCATCCCCAGCAAACCCTTGCTCCTCCCACCTGGCCACCCCATACCCATTCACCCCTGAGACTGTGACAGCTCACTGCCTGGGCCAGCTCCAGCATGCTGCCCCCAGATCCGCCCCCCAAACAAGGTGGCCTCTCACCTGTCATACAGCCCTGTCATACAGGCATGACACTGTCATACACCTCTGGAACCCCAACAGGGCTGTGAGTCCAGAAATGCAGGACTGAGCCCAGCTTATTCCCCACTTTATTCCGCAGTTGGGTGGGCTTGGGTAGGGCCAGGTCAGCCCCACGCAGGGCCTAGGGAGGAATGGGCAACAGGTCCTGTCCTCTCCACCCTTCAGAGAGGAGTCTGGGCCAGACCACAGCTGAGCCCCCAAGGGGCTGTGCTCCAGTGAGAGGCTCCCTTGCTGAGCTCTTTTTGTGGAAGAGGTTTGGCAGCGAAGGAATGGGCACGTGGGGCCCAGACCCCCAAGCTGTCTGGGTTCAGAAGTCTGCTGTTTGGGACAGAGGTGGGAAAGATGACATTTGTGAGTCACAGGCTCTGGTGGCTTCCCAAGCGCAGGACAGCTCCAGTGTCATCTCTCCAGAGCTGGGAGTGCTGATTTAGCAAAGCAGTTCACGGGAAATTTGTTTTGTTTTGCTTTGCTTTGTTTTTTGTTTTGTTATTTTGTTTTGCAATACTGGGGATTGAATCCAAGGCTTTACACTGAGCTACTTCCCTAACCCTTCTTATTTTGAGACAGGGTTTCAATAAGTTGCACAGGCTGGACACATGCTGGGCTCGAATGTACATTTGCTTGTTTGCTCGCTTGCTAAGGTTACAGGTGTGCATCTCAGGCCCAGCTGGGCTCAAACTTTTGATCCTCCTGCCTCAGCCTTCCAGAGAAAATACCTATACTTTATTTGGCAGCACTTGTCCCCAGCATGGAGCCTATAGAGGAGGGGTGGATCACAATCTGGGCAGAGAGGCTGGGCCTGGAGCACCATCCTCAACACCCTGGCATGGCTTCCCCCAGGAACACCAGCAGCCAGCCTTGTGGGCTCTCAGACTTCTGCAGAACGCTCATGACCAAGCCTGGCTGCTCCGGTTATTGCCTGTCCCACCAGCTGCTTTTCTTCCTCTGGGCCAGAATGGTGAGTACCCGGTAGGAAAGACAGGGGAAGGTTAAAAGGACTCCTGGCAGTGTAGTTCTATCTGATGCACACCAGGAAATCAAGTGGTATTTTGTATTTGTGCTTCAGCCATCAAGAGGGAAAAGTGAGAGAAAATTTGATATAACTGAGCTGATTAAATTGCAAATGAGGAAGATAGGATTAGGGATTCTGTTGGACTGGCCAGATAACTTTGCTGCTGAGCTGGATGGTAGGGCATCAGAAAAACAGAGGAAGCAGGAAGAAGCACTCAGCCAACCACAGATGAGCGTAAAAGAACTTGGAACAAAGTTAGCGGGTAGCTACTTGTAGGAGACCAAGCCACGCCCACAGCGATGGTAATGACAGCAGTGCTGTCTTTAAATGGAGACAGCCGGGACAGAGGGAGCTGGGAGAAGCAGCAGCCTGGCTGTCCTTGTTGGTGGGGTGACGATTTCTATGGTAAAATGACACAAAGTAACGATTTGAAATACGGAAGATGGTAAGCTTTATATTCACTTATTTGTTTTAGCCTCATTTTAAAAAACAAATTGAACTTGTTGGGCAAAGCGGGGCGGGGGGGCGGTTAAAGTTGCGGGCCCCAAGGTTGCAGGAAGAAAACTGCGCGGTACCCAGCCCCTGGCTTTCCTAGTGGCGCAGCCACCTCGGGGCACAGCATCCCCATCCTGAGGAGCCAAGGTGGGGCGGCTACTGTTCTGGGTCAGGTCTGGGCGATGGTCTGTCCTTGGAGGTCCAGGAACTGAAGCCAGGGGGCAGAGGTGTACCCAGCCCTACCCCGCCCCGCCTACCCAATCCCCCCCCCCTACTCCACACCCACCTACCCCACTCCACCTATCCCACCCCACCTATCCCACACCCAACTCTCTTTCAAATCTCAGGATGATGATGATGATGATGTTAAAACTACACATTTTTATGGGGCTGGGGGCATAGCTCAGTGGTAGTGTATGCTTAGCATGTGGGAAGGTCTGGGTTTGATCCCTAGCCCTGGAAAAGAAGTACATAAATATATTTACAAGGTGGGTTCTTGTAGCAGGAGGGATGAGGGGAAAATAAATAAACAAACAAATAAATACATTCATTTGATCTCATGATTTCTATGCCAAAAATGCTATTCAGAGATCAGAAATTTTTGCTTCACAGGGTTTTTTTAAATTACTGTTTATGCTGGGCATAGTGGCACATGCCCATAATCCCAGCACTCTGGAGGCTCAGGCAGGAGGATCTTTGTGAGTTCAACTAGCCTGGACTACAAAGTGAGCTCAAGGCCAGTCTGAACTACATAGAGAGATGCTGTCTCAAAAAGACAAAAAAATATAAAAATTAATAAATAAATACTGTGTATTTGCTGAGATAGACCAATGTTTCTAAAAATATAATTAAAAAACTAAATTATGTTTACAAGGTGTAATTGAAATATAGGGTAAATGTCTACATTTTTTAATGTACTACAATACAAGATGTATCACCATTAATCCCCTTCAAAATGCTCCCCCTCATTTCAAACACACTTATCCATCATTCTTACCACTTTCTGAAGTGGTTCCTGAGGCCCCCTTTCGTGTCTTTAGCTGTGCTCTTGTGGCTTTCTCACTGTACTGGATTAATTCAAGACGTTGATCTTTTGTGGTCATTTTGACTTTGGAGAAGAGCCGGAAGTTGCAGGGTACCAGACCTGGTGAGTAAGGTGGGTGAAGACACATGGTAATGTTTTCATAAGCCTGCCTTTGCCTTGGATGGCGCGCAGCAGGGTATTCATCATACTTTTGATTGCACCATGTAAAGACACCCACAAAAGAGGGCTCCCAGAACGGCTTCAGAAAGTGGTAAAAACAATGAGATGTGTTTTGGAAGCAAGAGGGGCATTTAGAGGAGGATTCGTGGCAATATGTCTTTATTATAATAAATTTTAAAAATTTAAATATTTACCATGAATTTTGATCACCTCATGTATATTTATTCATATCAAAAACTTGTGCTCTAGTCTAAAAATCTTATTCAGAGGCTAGGAGTCCTTCATTTGATGGAATTCTTAAAATTACTATTTCCTTGTACGCTGCAACAGACCAGTATTTTTGTAAACATAATAAAAACCAAATTACAAACTGAATTATTATGTTCACTATTCAACAGGTCAAAGGTTACTCTGACCATTGCTGCTATATCCTGTCCTCAATGCCTGTTCTTTTCCATCAGGGGGTAGGGATTAACCAGGTCTAAAACCTGCACTTGGAGTAGCACTGGAGCCAGAGCAAGGTTGGCCCTCGGTGGGGACAGAAATGCTCATGCAGGCAGTTACAGAGCTGGGCCGTCATGCCAAGTCAGAACTTGAACCCAGCTCTTCCTGATCCCCAGGGATGGAGCAAGCTGGGAGTGTGCGCGGGAAGAACTCTTGGGGAAGGAGAGACCTGCCCCAACACAGCCCATGCAAGACTTTCTCAGACTACAGGTGTCTCTCTTGTCTGTGGGTGTTTGTCCCCCAGAAAGGATGCGTGCAGGGACTGTTCAGCCAGAGCCAGCACTACATCAGCGTCTTCTGTGCCAACATGATGGACCTGAACCGGAATGCTGAGGCCATCAGATATGCCTCCCCCATCCAGGACCTGTTCATGGAAAACAGTATGCCTGGCCTTCTGACCTTGGGCCAAAGCAACAGGGTGTTCGTGATTGAGGCAAACACACACACACACACATGATTGAGGCAAAGTGGAGTTGCCAGATTAAGCACATAAAACTACAGAGTGCTCAGTTGAACCTGAACTTCAGATAAGTAATGAATAAAATCTTAGTTTAAGTACATCCTATACAATGTATGTGCTCAGCATGGGATAAGTTTACACTAAAATTTTATTTGTTGCTTGTCAGAAACTCAAATATAACTGAACGTCCTATATTTACCTGTCACTGTGTGACTGTGCCCTCAAAGGCTGATGCAGGGATGGACTTCTGGACAGGCTAACAAGCTGACTGGCAGACAAACCCCCACAGCCTTAGAGAAGAGGCAGAAAGAGAGCCCTAGGGGCTGCTCCTTGCCTGTGATGAGGGCTCTAAGTGGGAGGCAGGACACAGCCTGGGAGCCCCAGTTGCTAAGGTGGAGTCTCCTTCCAGCCCCAGGCAGGAGAAGACAGGTGGCACCATGGTGGCCCCAGGGAGGGGAGGAGGTGGACCTGGGGGAACAGGTCTACAGACGGTCCCCTGGGTTTGCTTACAGTCATGTTCTGTGGCATTGCTGGCTTCTCTGACTTCTACAAGCTCCGGTGGCTGGAGGCCATTCTCAGCTGGCAGAAGCCACAAGAAGGATGCTTCGGAGTGCCTGGTAAGCTTCGCCTCTGCCCTGGCTGTGGGAGGAGGGAAAACACACTGGTGTGAGGTACAAAAGAGATGTGCGATATGTACATGCAAGCATGTGCACCCAAACACACACACACACACACACACACACACACACACAGTAGGAAAGGCTCACAGCTTTTGGAGCCAACCCTTTTCAGAATGAAAGGCAGCCCTGTCAGGAGATTAGAGCCCCTAAAACTGCATTAACAAATTCATTCATTCAACAAGCATTTATTCAGCACCTACTAGAGCACCAGACACTGTCTATGCTATGAGGGAAGCCAGGCCTGAGGGAAACAGGCAGAGATCCCTAAACAAACCAGTAAGCAAAATAATGACAAAGTTCTGGCAAGAGGTGAGAAGGACACAACAGGCTAAGAAGGATAAGAACACAGGGAAAAGTTCTTCAGGTGCAGTGATCAGGGAAGACCTCTGCAGGGAGGTGACGAAGAAGGTGGAGAGGTGCAAGCCGTACCTTGCCAGCCACAAGACCCTTGCCAGTTGGTCATCTTTGGAGAAAGTCACTTTACTCTCTGAGCCTCAATTTCCCCACCTTTAATGAGGGGCCACTATCCTAAGTGTGAGGGGGAACAGACAGCACACAGGACACTGCCTGGCCCACGCCAGGTGCAAGGCAGGCTCCCTGGAAATAAATTCTGGGATCTTCAGTGGGACACTTGGGTCCTCAAAGAAGCAAATGCAGTGGTTTTGAGATCAGTTTATGGAATGAAGATTCTCAGGCTTGCCAGACCTCAGGAAAGGGAGTTGGATGGGGCGGGGACTTGCATCCTCCCACCCTGCTCCAGCACCTCTGGTACAGGTGATTTGGGAACACACTCTGAAAAACCATGAGTAGATGACAAATGTAAGCCACGTGGAAGGAACCGCAGACAGATGTGGGAGAAAACTTCTAGAGTAGCCTCAGCATTTCAGAGAAGACCTGCATTCCTTGTGGTGTCTGGAGAGGAACAGATTTTATCAAGCACAATTTAAAGATCATGAGTTCATCTTCTGCTCTTCTCCAGCTGCTGGGGGTGAAGTGAGACCTGCAGGCCCTCTGTACCAACAGCATGTTCTCAGAAGAGTCAAGAGGCGAGAAAAACAATTCACAGGTAACAAAAATGCCCAAGGGAACTGGGGCCTGTAATCCCAGAAGTCTGGGAGACTGAGGCAGGAGAATTGTAAGCTCCAGCTCAACCTGAGTGACTAAGGGAGACCCTGTCTCAAAATAAAAAGGGCTAGGGATGTAGCTCAGTGCAAAGGCCCTGAGTTCAATCCCCAGTACCACAAAACGGATGGGGAGGGCTCTTGGCATGAAACCAAGACATTTTGGAAAGCCAAGTCCTGCGCCTATTCCTTCTCTTCTGATACAGTGGGTGCCCCTCTGTCACTGAAGGACAAGGTCCCAAGGCTTTCATGTTTGCGGGCTAGAGGGAAGCATCCTCTCAAACAGTTCAGAGGGACAGAGGCCTCTGTTCAGACAGCTAGGCTCAGAGGAACACAGAAGTTTCAGTGAGGTGTGGAACAGTGCAGAGATAACCTGCTCGCTGGGAGCCGGGTCAGGGACTAGAACCTGCATCAGGAACTTCACAGAGGGAACTTAATGTAGGGAATGTGCCTTAGGAGGCTGGACAACCTGAAAAGAAAAATGGGAAACCCAGATCCTGACATTGCAAGGGGCCCTAGGGAAACAGAGGTGAGCAGAGCCTAGCTTCTTCTCTCATCTGGCACCGCCTCCTGTTTGACAGACCTTGGCAGATGCCTAAACCAAGGGCCCTGGAAGCATTCTTTGGAGGGGTCCACATGCAGCATTTGGAGCAAGGAAAGGCAGGGAGAGGCCAAGGAGCTGATGGGCAAGTTGTATGAACAGTCCCAGGAGACCCCAGGCTGCCCCTATTTACACCTTCTGTCTGGGGCCATGAGGAAGAGTGTCCCTTATGCCCCCAAGTGTCCTGCTCTGATGAGACACTGCACAGTCGGCCAGGCAATGCAGAGAAATCAAGTGTAGGACATGGTCACATGGGGAAGGAAAGGAACCATGTAGAAGAAAGGGAGAGAGAGAGAGGCAGGCAGGGATATGAAAGGGAGAATAGACTCTGGTTTCCATTTTTTATAAATAAAAAGTAAATGAGCACATTGCAGAAGCAGGAAGGGCCATGGAACAGCCAGTTCACAGAGCAAGCATCCCACATGCTTTAGCAAATGATTCCAGCAAGGCAGGTCCACACAGCACTGAAGCACCCACATGGCACTGGGCAGGTTGCCCTGATGACACTGGAAAAGCATTTTCTTTCCAATAGGTGAGATGGCTTGTTTTGAAGACGGGGCTGAAGTTGCCAAGTCAGCACTCACCAGGTTCTCTCCCCTCCAGATGGCTGTTCCAGCCACAGCACCGCCACAGCAGTTGCAGCCCTGGGTGGCTTCCTTTACCTCCTGGCAGATCAGCCGCTGGTGCACGAGAGCGTCGTCCGTCCACACCATCACGTGGCTCCATGACTGCTTCCCCTTTAGATCTTTTTCTGTAGCATAAAATGCCTCCTCAGCCAGCATACTTCAGTTTCTTAGTTGCCCAGCTCATAGTTCAGGTTAGTTCCTGTTACTTTTGTTTCTTAGAAATTGCTGGTCCCTCTGATGCATTCCTGGTCACTAGGATGCTCATTGTATAAACCAATCCTCAATTGAGAAGCCATTCTGCCTCTGTACTTCCTGCTTGTTTATCCAATGTAAGCCCTAGACCACCAGAGATCAGGGCCTGATATTTTGGGAGTGATCCTGATCAGTGCCCATCGACATAAACAAATCTGCCCCCAAATTCTGGGTGTTGTTTTGGTGTTTCTGCTTGCCATTGCACTTCCTCCAGTTCTGGGGCCCAGGTTACACCCCTGGGAGGAGGCAGCAGAAGAAAGAGACCAGCAGGCACCCCACATCACATCAGGCTGTTTGGAGACCCCAAGCAGGCAGGGCCCGAAGGGTGGCTGGGGTGAGCAGATGAATGAACACGCATAGCACACAGTCAGTTGGGAATTGGGACTTGTCTCTCAGCCCTTGAATGACCTTGGACAACCCCTATTTTTGTTTCAAGCCCCTAAAGTCACTGAACACACATTTTACAGACCCACTGTCTTAGTCTGTTTCCTCCAGCCAAAACAGAACACCACAGACCAGAACACCACTACTCCTCTCTCAGTAGCAGAAATTGACAGTACAGTCTATACAGCTGATTCTGGATACCAGGAAGACCAAAAGTGTGGCACAGCATCCACCAAGAGCCCTTGTGCCATGATGGGAAGGACAAGTGAGCAGTCAATAGACAGAGAGAGGGCAAGAAGGGACTAACCTTATACCAGACCTGCTCTCATGATAATCAGCCCACTCTGGAGATAATGGCATAAATCCATTCCAAAATGCAGAGTCCCCATGGCCCAATTACCTCTCTTGTGTCTCACCTTTTTCCAACTGTGAACTGAGGATCAAACGTGAGGATGATCCACCAATGAGCTAAATCTCCAGCCTCCCTTTTTTCAGAGTCCTCCCAAGTTTCCTAGGCTGTCCTCAAACTTGTGATACTCCTGCTTCAGCCTCCCAAGTAGCTGGGATTCCAGATGTGCACCACTGCACCTGGCCAGATCCCACCTCTTAATACTGTTACAGCAACAATTAAATTGCAACATGAGTTTTGGAGGGGTCTTTCAAACCACAGCACCCACACACAAGCCTTAAAGGCTGTTTGCTCCAATGTCAACTACTACATCCTGGCCAGTGGGGTAAGTAACGTTCTCTAAGAACAGACTGAGTCATGAGCTGGAACCCAAGAGCACTGTGAGAGACAACACACGCTGCTTTTCATGTCCTGTGCAGAGGCTACGATATCAAAGCATGTCATGGTCACATCATCTTAAGGAGGCAGTGTAACATAGTAGTTAGTGATGCGGCTCTGTGCTCGGAGTGACTGGATTCAGACCCCAGCACTGTGTCCTTGGGCAAAGCCACTGACTTCTCAGTGATTCATTTCCTCCTCAGTAACAGAGATGACAGCACCTACCTCAATATTACCTCCACTGCTGGGAGGATTATGTTCGCAGCATCTGTCACATAGTGAGTCCCAGGCAAGCACTGCCTGCTGCCACAAGCTGCTAATGTCACATAACAGGGCATATCCCAAAACAGCAGGAGGGGCATCTGGCTCCTCAGGGTTCTTGAATTCTCAGCTCACTGTTCTGCAGCATTAAGTCATCTGAACACTGGTTCAGCACTTGGGAAAAAGCCTTCCAGAAACTTCTCATAGGTCCAGCTGCTGTCTGTGGTGCTATGACAGGGGGCATGCGCACAGGTGTGCAGAGTAGAGAACTGGGTGGGAAGGACATTGCGAGCAGGCCCCGATTTGCCTCTAGGTGGGTAACAGCTGCAGCTTATCTGCTGTGTGTCGTACCTCAGCTCGCTGAGTTGTACCTCAGAGAGTGAATTAAAATGTCCGTTGTGCCTCTGTGCCCAGCTGAACAACCCAAGAGCGCAGGTGGGTGATGGTTCTAAGTCTCTTGTCCAAGAGGTGGTCTCCTCTCTCTAATCCTCCCTACTGTCCCTTGGACACTTTCCCACAATCGCTCCTAAATTGTCAGGCCCAGAGGACATTCCTGGAGTCTGCTGACAGGTTTGATTTGCTTCTGAGGTTGCTGTTTTCTTCGGGGGAATCAAGAGGTAGAATTTAATACCCACTTGGCACTCGGGTTGCTTCAAGGATTTCTTTTGAATTACCTCACAGAGACAGACATACACCTTACAAGAAGTCAACGGAACATAAATGGATTAGTGGGGAATTATGCCCACCCCCATCCTTCCTGAATTTGGGATGGATTAGTCATTGAAGCCTGAGTCAATGCATTCCAGAAGGTTTTAAATTACCAAGCCAGGGCAGGAAGTGGCTATAGGAAAACCTATGTTTACAAGTCACTTTCAAGAAAACACACCTAAACTGGGTGTGGTGGCATGTACTTGTAATCCCAGAACTCTTGGAGGCCAAAACAGGAAGATTGCAAGTTTGAGACCAGCCTAGCAATTTCACAATTTACAAGACCTCGTCTCAAAATAAAAGAAATAAAGCTGGGTGTGGTGGCACACACCTGTGATCCCAGCTCTCGGGAGGCTGAGGCAGAAAGATCTCAGTGAGTTCAAGGCCAGCCCCAGCTACATACTGAGGTCAAAGCTAGCTTGAACTACATAGTGAGATCCTGCCTCGAAAACAAGCTAAAATAAATAGATAAATAAAATTTGGAAAGGGGTGAAGGGGTGTAGATCAACGTGAAGGCCCTGGGTTCAACCCTCAGTATTGAAAAAAATAGAATGTCCAAGTCTTAGCAGGTGTCCTGCTAGAATTCCTAAGAAAGGCTTTGTACAAACAACTTTGGCTTTTCAGACTCCAGGTCAGGCTGGTGTCCCTATTTCAGAACCAAGTTTCTTCTGGGCAGGACAGCAGAAGGAGTGAGAACCAAGGCTTCAAAATGGCCCCTCACCCCAAGCCTGTCCTCCTGCTGCACCTGCCGAGCTCTTCCTACCTGCACACTCTGGGCCGTGTCCCCACATGGGACCTCCTTTCCTCTCTGCTGCCCCAGTCCTTATGGCTTGGAGAATCCTCCATCACCAGGCCTGCAATCTCATTCTCTCTTGGTCATGTTTCCTTGACACTTGCCCTCACCACACCTGCTCCACGTCTGTCTCCCCAGGAAAACCGAAGCACCGTGAGACCAGGTCCTGTTTGCCCTCTTCAGCCCCGTTTCATCAGCACAGAGCACAGATAAAGTGGTCATTTCATTGAACAAACAATGGTAGAATATGGATGAGGATACTAAGAGGGGACAGAAGTGTTCCAGGCTGAGAGCAGATACAACTGAAGGAAACCCCCTGGCTCAGTGAGCTGCTTTGGCTAGAACTGTGAATTTTGGGTTGTTCACACCAAAAGGAGGATTTCCATGGCAACTGTTAGGAGCTTAGAGCAAGTGGGCAAAGATGAGTGAACACTGAAGTGGAGAGAAGGCCAAAGACAGAGCTCACCACAGACTGACCAATCCTAAACCTCCTAGTAAACCTTGAGAGAAGAAAGAGGACTTCTGGAGGCAGGGATACTGACAATTGGTCTGGGCTTAATGGCTGATTATTTTGCACAGCCCAGATACAAAGATCAGAAAAGCATAATTCCAACAAGTCAATATAATTGTGTCAGGCCAGAAAGGAGCAATCACTCTGAATGTGGTTCACTGAAGTAAATTTGGTTAGTTCAGGAATCAGAGCCATTCTTGGGGAACTAGTTGTCCTCTTAAAGCCTCTTGCAATCATAGGTGGGACTTTAGGGAGGCAATTGGATTATGGAGGTATGATAGTCATCAATGGATTAGTCTGCTGATGAGTTTATACCTAAATGTAACATTGAGATGTGGAGCTTGGTTGGAGAAGGTCACTCAAGAGCATGGCCTGGAATGTATGCATCTCTCCCGCTTCCGTTGATCTCTCTCTGCTTCCTTCTGCCATGCCATGAGCTGTGTGTCCTCTTCCATACCACCCTGCCTTGGAGCCAGCCAACTATGAATTGAAACCGTTACAAACTGTGAGCCAAAATAAACCTTTCCTCCTGAGAATTGTGGGTGTCTATTTTCCCACAGAAAATAACAGGACCCATCTGAGGTTCTTAACTGCATTAGTTAACAAACTTAAAGCAGAATTGTGCTCTCCCTGAAAGCTTGAGGAAAAACTTGCATCTGTCCCCAAAGGAAGGGCAGTCACAATTACTCTGCTCCATCCCTCTCTCCCAGCCTCTGGTGGCTGCCAGCAATTTTAGCCTTTGCTTTCTTATAGTTACATCACTTGAGCCACTGCCACACCTCTTCATATGGCCATGTTTCTTCCTCTGTGTGTATGCCTGTCTCTTCTCATGAGGACACCAGTCAAAGTGGATTTAGGATTCATTCTCCAGTATGGAAACCTATTCTTAACTAATTGACTTCATCTTACTAATTAGGTCTACAAAGATCCAGTTTCAAATAAGGTCACACTCTGAAGTTCTGGGGAGGATATGCCTTTGGAAGAACACCATCCAAACCAGCAGGCTGACCTTGATCACACACTGGCTCAAAGAATCTGGGCTCAAACTGGGGCCTGGATGCAAGCACGAGCAGTTCTGCCTGGGAACAGAGAGGTCCTGGCCTAGCCAGCATCCCTGTTGTTCCAATAGCCAGCCAGACTGCAATGGCTCCTGGGTGCCCTGTGCCTTGCATCTATACTCAAACACTGCCTGACCCTGGACCCGCCCCAGGATGAGGGGCCCGGTGAAAAGCAGCATCTCAAAGGAAGCTTGAAGCACGTGCTACAAAATAAAGCGGCTCTTGTGTTTGGGCCCAGCCTTGTGGGCTCACTCAGAAGGGCCAAGGTTCAGAGGAGGCAGGGCTCAGAGGAGTCACAGGTTCAGAGAGGTCCTGGGCTTCCTTTAACCTCTTAGGCATTTTTGGTTTTTGGTTTCTGTTTTGTTTTGTGTGTTTTTGTTTTTGCAGTACTAGGAATTAAGCCTAGGCCCTTTGCTCTGAGTTACATCCTCAGCCTGTTTATTTTTTGAGACAGGGTCTTGCTAAATTGCCCAATCTGTCCTTGAACTTGTGATCCTGTATGTCAGCCTCTGGAATAGCTGGAATTACAGGCTTATACCACCATGCCTAGCCCTAGTTTTGCTTCTTTTGTTTTTGTGTTGTTTTTAGCATATCCGTGTTTCCATTCTTCATAAAGTCCCATAAATTGACAGGCCTGTCTGTTTTTTAAACATCAAGATTATAGCCAGGAGTGGTGGCACATGTCTGTAATCCCAGCACTAATGAGTCTGAAGCAGGAGGACAACCTGGGCTACATAATCGACTTCAAAGGCAGCCTACACTACATGCTGAGACCCTGTCTCAAAACAAAAAAAAAAAAAAAAAAAAAAAAGATAAAAACAAAATGTCAAGATTTAAAAGACAAAGCCTGAAGAAGTGCTCTAGGTTAAGGGAGACCAAAAAAATATGACAATTAAATGCTACTGCTGGATGGGATACTGGGTTGATGGTGAGGGGACCGATAAAAAGCACATTATACATTTTAGAGACAATTGGCAAAATCTGAAGGTGAACTGTGGATTAGATAATACAACTATTGTCAATAAAAAGGGTCCTGATGTCACAGGAAAGTGACTCCCAACCTATTAGACATCAGATGTGCCACATTTGTCTTTTAATAATCAAAGAATGGATAGGAGGATAAAGAAGGTTAAGAGTTGGAAAAGTTTATTAAGAAGAAAGCTCCTGAGAGACAGGAGGGGTCCCCAAAGTGGGTTACCACTGAGGCTCTTTGGGTGTTTTTATACACAAAAATGACCACATGAGAGACCATCTGTGCCAAGCTGAGGCAACCTATCATGTTAAAGTATAGCAGCTTAGCTATATTGATCTAATAAGGAAGCAAGGAACATAACCAGGGTACATGGTGGGCCTTACTAATTTTAGCTTACCTGTAACTTCTAATTTAGAAAGATCAAAGGCATTTCAGGGATAGGATAGGAGTCTGGCTCAGGATGTTCTGGTCACCCCACTATGCATCTGACACCTTATCTAGGCTCCCTGGATCAGGTGGTAGTGATTACGTACAATCTCAAGCTGCTGGGTATCCCTCGGGAAGGCTGCAGGCCTGGCTCTTTTCTTCCAATTCGTCTCCAGCCACAATTTTGATGTCTCATCTTCTGCACTAACGCCTTCTAGGGCTTGGTCCCTCTCTGACTGCCTGTTAATTTCTACCGAACTTAAAGGTCTATAATTTTACTTGTCCTGCGTTATGTAAGAAAATACCCGTCTTCAAAAATCACATTGAAGTACTAAGGTAAAGGGGTAAGTCTGCAACTAGGCTGCAATCAGTTCAAGAAAAAAAAAGTTTATGAATAAAGTACATATGCTAAACCAAGTGTAAACAATTGGTAAACATGAGTAAGAACAGAATTCTACCGTTGCACCTTTCTCTAAATTTGAAATTACATCAAGATAAAGTTACCACCAACCAGTCCTCAGCCCCTCCCAAAATCTCTTTTGGAGGAGTGATCTCGCGATAGCCTTGGGAGATCAAGGCTGCCAGGGACAGATATGGAGTCACATGAGAAGGGCCCACGTGACCGGAGGTCCAAGTCAACATGGCGGCCCCCACCCGGCGTGGACTTCTCTTCCTGCTTGCGCTGCTGGACTTCCTTTGGGAAGCGTCCGGCAGCATCGGGGAGGGGTGAGTGCAGCTTCCAGGGGTTCGGGACGCCCCCGTTCTCCGGGTTCCTTGGGAAGGCCACCCGAGCTCATTGTCACCTGGTCCCCGCAGGGCCTCCCGCGACGACGATCTGCTGCTGCCCTACCCCCGCGAGCGCCTGCGCCCGGCCCGGGACTGCAAGCCGGTGATTGCGGGGAGCCTCGAGCACGAGAGCTGGCCCCCGCCTTCCGCAGCCCCCGGAGCCGGCCCCCCGTCGGTGCGCACCTTCGTGTCACATTTCGGGGGGCGCGCCGTGTCCGGCCACCTGACCCGGGCCGCCGCGCCCTTGCGCACCTTCTCGGTGCTGGAGCCCGGCGGTCCCGGAGGCTGCTCGCAGAAGCGCCGGGCCACCGTGGAGGAGACGGTGCGGGCGGCCACCTGCCACGTAGCCCAGAACGGCGGCTTCTTCCGCATGAACACGGGCGAGTGCCTGGGGAACGTGGTGAGCGACGGGCGGCGGGTGAGCAGCTCCGGGGGGCTGCAGAACGCGCAGTTCGGGATCCGCCGCGACGGGACCCTGGTTACCGGGTGAGGAGGCAGGGAGCCCCGTAGCAGTCAAGGGCGCAGGGCCTGAGATTTGGGTTGTGGCCATGCCGTCTTTGCGTTCAAGTCACCTAACCGAGCTGAGCCTCCGTTTCCTCATCTGCAGAATGGGGATAGTAATATGGTACCTTCGCTGCAGAGTTAATTCGTCACCCTGTGTCACTGAGCACTTGCTTTGTGTCAGGCAACGAGCTGTGTCTTGGTGAGGTGACCCAGAACAAGCACCCACAGGTTGCCCTAAGGGACCTCTCCCATTGCTAGGAAAGCCAAATAAATGCCGGTAATAAGGTAAGTTCAGATGGGGTGTTCAGTGAAGCGATGAGTTAGGCGAACCAACTGTAAATAGCGCTAATCTTAGTAGAGTGGTGAGAAACAGGCCTCTCTGAGGTGACCTCTGAGACCTACAGTTTGAGCAGTCCCAAAGATTGAACTGGAGAAAGAGCAAGCAGCCCAGGCAGAAGGAACAGCAGGCACAAAGGCCCAGAGGTTCCGGAAGGCTTAGTGTGTGTAAGGGACCCAGGGAAGGAGTAGATTATCAGAAGTTATAGGACTGCCTCCTTAAGAGCTTGCTCCAACCTTGAGTGTGAGGGAGCAGTGGGGTTGGAGAAGCAAAGAGGCATTAAGAGACATGGGGTACTTTTGAGGGAATGTTTGGCCTGGAGATCGAGGACCATATATGGGTCTGAGATCTGTGGCGAGTGGGTTGGTTTAGTAAATAAAGCACAGACAGTTTGCAAAGGTATGTGTACAAGGGTTACTGTCAGATCCCTGTGTAGCTTCAGTCTTGTTGCCCTGCTCTGACGACAGGGAGATTCCAAAGAGCTGCAGAACACCACAGCTGTACTGACTGCAGCTTAGGCAGGTTCCTAGGACAGGAGGAGGAGTGAGCAAGCCAGGCTGAGATGGGAGGAAGGAAGGAGCCCGTGCCCCCAGCTGCCTCTGCAGGTGAGTGAGCCTCTCACCCTCCCTGAGTCCAGGTACCTGTCTGAGGAGGAGGTGCTGGACACTGAGAACCCATTTGTGCAGCTGCTCAGCGGGGTTGTCTGGCTGATTCGCAATGGGAGCGTCTACATCAACGAGAGCCAGGCCGCCGAGTGCGATGAGACACAGGAGACAGGTGCGGGGGAGGGAAGGCTGCCAGCAACAGGAGCCAGGCAGTGGGGGATGCTGTCCTTCAGGCATTTGACAGGTGTTTATTGAGCAGGTGGTTTGCGCTTAGCACTGTTCTGGGCACGGGGGAATCCTGGGAATTAAGGTAGTTTTATGTGGTATAGAAGAAAGGACATCATTGTATAATCTGAAAAGAATTGGTAAATGCTAAGAAAAAGTTAAGAGAAAAGGAACAGATGGGGAGCAGGAACTGCAGGCATGAGAACAGAGAAGCTCTGCAGAATGTTCATGGATCAACAGCCTCCTCAGCCCAGGAGCTTGTTATAAATGCAAAAGC